ATTTTGATTACACTTCATCTCATTCCATCATATCCCTGTAAATCCAGGATTAAGCCTGTAGTACCTCTAATTTGTAATTATTAATTTCCTACAGATACCGCTCAGACCCTTTGTTCTGTTAATCCTTTGTAGTTCCTGTCGTATTTGTGGCTGACATCAGGAACTGGTCTTAGTGCCTTGTCCCACTGGAGTGCTGGGTTGGCCTGCTAATTCTGAGACATGGTCCAAAGCGCGCTCTGTTGAAGCCAGAAGGAATGACCCTGCAGCATGGGATTGTGTTTGGAGGATAGGTAAAACATCGGGAGCAAGGGTTTCTTTTGAGTATAAGATTTGTTTACTTAAACAGAATAGCAGATCTTTAGGTGTTGAACTCTGATGAAATTAAGGAGTTCAGCTCCTGAAGCTTGAGAAGGCTGGCCAAAGTCCCTAGAAGTCCTGTGCTTTTACAGTTCACCAAAGCTTTATACTAGAAGAATGTTTTTTCAAATCTCGAAAATATTCCCAGTTTAGCTGGTTTTGCTTTCAGACTTGTTCAGGGTTGGAGCCAGTTCCCGCTTATTTTAATGGGCATACTTCTATTGATATCAGAGTCCATGAGTTAGGTCCAAAATGCCTGAAGGGGAATTGTTATTTCTTGATAATTCTTTGATCAAGTGGAAATGCGAGAAGACTCTAGAGTGTTTAACCCTGTCACTGACATTATTGCTTGGACAGCTCCCACGCATCTGTTTTGTTTCACTCCAGTGAAATTGTTTAAATTTTCAACTTTTAAGCCAATTTGTAATTTGGATGCAAGTTCTCTGTGTTGAGAATGCCACAGAAGAAAACATTTCATCCAGAGTAGTATTTAATCAAAGTTCTAGAAGAATGTGATACTGAAACCCCTTATTTTAATTGCTGCTGCGCTCTGATATGTGGCTGTTTGATTTAATACCCTGTTATTTCAGGCTTAAAGCTTGTATCACTGAATACTCAACAGGACTTGTTTTGTACACAGTAGATCATTCCTATCTGTATCAGGGTATAGGAGAAAAAGTTGCTTGTGGGGAAAACAGTGGACATGACAAGTATCCAGTGTAGCTGAACTCCTGCTCTTTGTGGAACTATTCAAAAATAAAAAGATGCCAAGCTCATGTGCGAAGGCAACATAGGCTAATATTAAAAATATTACTCCTTATTAGCATTATGTAAGATGTGGGATTGCTCCCACCTGTGGTGCTGTATATAGCTGTTCTCAGATTGCAGTGAAAAGAATTCAGCAAAAAGAATTTATAGGACTTTCATAGAACTAAAAATAAATTGTTTTTGTTTAGGAGTGTCACTTCTGAGATTATGTCCTCGAGTGTGTTAAAATAATCCCAGAATCTATTAAATGAAGCAGTCTCTTATAACAGTAGAGCAAAAGGTCATTCATATAAATGAGAAGCTTATAAAGTGAAAAAAGATTAAAAAAATACTTATAGTGTGTTGATACTTAATGTCACAAGATGTTGGAGTTTTGAGGTTAACATAACTTAAAAGAACCGTCAAATATATAATTATAAAATATATATATATAAAATAAATGCAACAAAAATGAGGACGCCAGCAGTAAGTATGGTAAGACTGAGATCGTTCAAAATTAATGTAGTAATGGAATTTAAAAAAAACTTTCTCTGAAACATCTTGGATCTCTCTGGGCTTTAGTGTTGTTTGCCCAAATCAGACAGTCTTTGAAACATCCTTAATAAGTGTAACTTTTTAAGAGTCATCTTAAATTTGTGTGGTCAGAAAAGTCTTTTCCTGTAGGACAAAGAGGTACTATGTGTCAGCTACTCTGTGCCTGGCTACATACAGGCTATTATCCCAACAGCCAACCAAGAGGTCTTGTGTCCCTCTCGTGCCGGCCTTCAGTCCAGGATAAGCCTAGAGATTTATCAGGTCAGCTGAATTGCAGTAGGAGCCCGCTCTACTCATCGTGTGAGTGCTCTCACTCATGCCAGATGTCCCATGTGATGCTTCCAGGTGGATGCAAGTCTAAATGTAAATTTAGCCTTCCACATAGGTCTAATCCTATACCACGTTTACTGTCACTTTAGCAAATTTCTTTTTTGATGGTTGCTTTTTAACCAGCCAGAAACTTTTGCGAAAGGTTTCTTTTTCATGTGAACTTGCAAAGTATAGCTTCACTTTAGAATCATGTTAGGTCCGGGTAAGAGGAATATTATGTGTGAGGTGATATTTCCTATGGTTGTTTTTTTTGAAATGACTTTTCAAGTCTTTTAGGGGTGTTTTTACCCTGTTGTTTTTGTTGTTTGGTTTTTTTTTTATAAGCCTGTAACATTTTTGTGAGTCAAAGCAGGAAGAGAGGAGAATCTGTTTGAAAATTAGTGTATGCAAAGAACAGAGGTACTTGCTATTTTAAATTATTTTGCCTGTAATATGCATTTAGATTTGTTGTCTTCCTGCGTTCAACCCCCAGCTGCTCTTCTACAAGTGCTTCCAATCCTTCATGTACTGTTGATCTGGGCTTGTAGGCAGAGCCTGAGGCTTTATAGCAAGCAGGTTCAGAGCTACACTGACTGCTGGAACCAACATCATGCAATTCTGAGCTTAGTGATTTTCTGCTCCCCGTACATGTGAGCAGGAACCCAAGACTGGTGATCTGTTCAGATGAAAACTTTCCAGATATTGAGGTAAATACATCCTACCAGATCATTATTCAAATGGAAAGAAGCTACACAGCTGAAGGTGTCTGTCAGAAAAAGTGAGTGTATAAAGCATGCAAACACAGGAACATTTTTATATAAAAGCAAAATAAATAGTAGATATGTCACATAATCATCAGATCACATGGATTAGTGCATCTCATTCACATTCTGATACTCTTAACTGCTTTTTCAGTTTTACTATAGTACAAGGATTCCCAAACTTGGATTTGCTTGGGGCTGGCCAACAGTGGCAGCGGCAGTGAGGATGTGCAGCATGAGCTCAGGTGTGTCCACACTGTGCTCTAGAAACACCAGTGTCAGGTAGCCAGCTGGGCTGCAGCCTGGCTGAGCCAGATCAGTTCTGGCTGACTCCAGACAGTCAGCAACAGCTAGGGTGTGATGGAGGGGAAGGGGTCTGTACCACCGAGACTCCCCCTGCTCTGGGTACAGGGGGGTCTAATAGTTCAGGTGTCCAAGGAAATGAGCTCTGAGCACTGGAGAGCCTGGGGTGGGGGAGATGGTGACTGAGTGGTTCTCTCGTATGAGTGCATCAACCAAAGTGCCACACTGAACATGAGCTGACTTCGCTGTGTGTATGTGTGTGCTGCTGCAGCTCTGATCCCCTTCCTTCTGATACATGTTGCCTTGAGCCCTCCCTTCTATATAAAGACAGCAGCAGCTCCTATCTTTATGCAGGGCAAGAAAAAGTCAGTGGGGAAGTGTTTGGCACTTAATGCAGTGTTCACTGCCCAGACATCCATTCCCTGTTTTCTCCAGGTCAGCAGAGAATCAGGAACTGCCACCGCCATGTTCTTGGCAGAGA